CTGAGTATTCACAACTCACTACTCACTATTCACTGCCCACTACTCACTACTCACTATTCGCTGCTCGCTACTCGCTACTCCCTACTCCTTACACAGTACTCACTGCTCACTACTCTCTACTCACTACTCGCCACTTCTTACTCGATACTCGCTACCCGATACGCAATACATACTACCCACTACGCAGTACTCACTACGCACTACTCACGACTCCCTACTTCCTACCCCCTACTCGCTAGTCATTAGTCACAAGTCCGTATACACTACTCAGTACTCATTACCCACTACTCGCGACGCACTACTCACTACTCACTACTCTCTATTCGCTACTCCCTACGCACGTCCCACTACTCACTACCCACTTCTCACTTCTCACCATTCACTACTCACTACTTCTACTCACTAATCACTACTCTCACTACTCGCTACGCCCTACTCGCTACTCGCGTTTCCCTACTCACTATCCACTACGGACTACTCCCTCCTCACTACTCATTACTCACAATGTCTTTCTCGCTACTCACTATTCACAACTCGCTATTCCCCACTCGCTACTCGCTACTCGCTACTCACTACCCACTCCCCGCTAACCACTAATCAACACTCACTACTCATTACTCACTATTCACTGCGCACTAGTCACTACTCACAACTCACTACTCACTGATCACTACTTACTACTCGCTACTATCTTCTCACTATTCACTATTCGCTATTCACTACTCACTACTCACTACTCACTATTTTTACTCTTTGCTCACTACTCACTATGCCGAGGCCAGACCCCCCCCCCTCTTGCGGGAAAGGCCCCTTCCCCGGCCCCGTGTTCGTCGCAAAGGGGGGAGGGGGGGGGGTTCGAACCCCTTCCCTTTCCAGCGCCGAGGGGGGGAGGGGGGGTTCGGGACCCTCCCCCTCTTCATGGGGGGAGGGGGTGTTCGGAACCCCTCCCCCCCTCGAGGGGGGTGCGGGTGGGGTGGGGTGGGGTGGGGTGGGGGCGTGAGTGGGGTGGTGGTGGTAGTGATGGTGGTGGTGGTGGGGGGGTCGAAAATCTCATTCCCCTCGTGAGGGGGGGGGGAAGGGGGTGTTCTGCGAGCGCACTTCCCCTTTTCAATTGCAGGGTGACCCATTGGCGCGTTTTCTGCCAGTGGCATTGACCCTTTCCTCCGCAAGTTTCGTGCTCACATTGGCCCTGACTTTGCCCCCGCCTCCGTTTCCCCTCCTCCCCGCCTCCCCTCCGCTGTCCACCCAGCGAGGAAGGAGGTCGTCCGAGCCTGTGCTGGCGACCTCGGCGCTGCCCTTTTTGCCCTCGAGGACCTGTGTCAGATCTCCTCTTTCTTCTCAGAGGCCGAGGAGCTTGCGCACCTCGTGCTGAAGGTGAACAAGTGCAAGCTCGTGCTCCTTGCCGACAAGATTTCGGAGATTTTGGCTGAGACATATCGTCGGAAGGTTGCCCGGCTGCACCTGCCCTGGAAGGATCTCGAGGTCGCGCTATACCTCGGCACGTGAGTAGGCCCAGCTGCCACCCCAAGTTCTCCATTGCAGGCCCCCTGGTCGAAGTACCTCTCGAGAGCCCAGCGGCTTGCGGATGAAGGTCCTCTTCCTACTCCTACTGCCAGTATGTATGCTCGGAGGGTCCTTGCGGTTCTTTTCCACATGGTGCTCCGGACCGTGAAAGAGAAGGACGCCGTCATCTTCGTCAGTCTTTCCAAGTGCCCCTGCTATCGAGTCGACGCTGCTGGCTGGTCTAACCTTCGTAAGTGGGGCGGTCCTGCTGTCGCCCCCGCCTGGGTCCTCAACCTTGCGCAGTTCATCCGCTCCAGCCGCATCACGTTTACCGATCTGGTGCTTCTTATGAACCGATTGCGCGATGTGGCCGAGGACAGTCTCCCGATTGCCGCCGCTGTTCTTGGGGGGCAATGGCCCGACTTATGGCGCCTGCAGCATTGGTCGACTTTTTGGGGTCGCCGCCGTTCGCGAGTACCCTGGAGGCTGCTGCGCATGGTTCCCTCTCATTCCTCAAGTCTCTCAACGTTACCATAATGCGATTCTGCACTTTAGCTACGTTCAACAATTTCTCCCTCCTCAACATCTCCGTCGCCTCCACCCGCGAAAACTTCTTACTGGCTGTCTACATGGTAACATGTATCTTGATAGCTCTCAAGCTCTCTTTGTTCGGCGTCTCTGGTTTCTTTAGAGCCTCGCTGCCATTGCCTTCGTTCCGTGGAATGAAGTTCGCTCCTCTCCCCTCTGCCTCCCCCCTCCTGGTGTGCCGCCATCGTCAGAACCCTGTCTGGAACCTGGGCCACCTCTCATTTTCAGGAATTCGAGCCGTGTCCCTGTTGTTCCCAGCTCTACCATTCCTTCCCTCATCTTTGGTGTTGCCCTTTCCTGCTTGATCTCCTCTCTCGTGCTTCCTTGGTCTCTCCCTCCCTGCTTGTCCCATTGTTCGGTTCGGTCTTCTTCAACCCTTTCGCGATTCTCTCACTGTCATAGTTTATGTTGTGTATCTCCATCGTTTAATCAGGTCCGACCCGCTCCCGCTGTGCGGGAGGTCAGGAGCGGCCTTCATCAGGTTGGCCCGCTTCCAGCTTTCGCGGCCGGCGGGATATGTAGATCTGCCGTGGAATGCTCCGCCTCGGCTGCGCTCGAGGGGGAGGAGGAGGAGGAGGAGGAGGAGGAGGAGGAGGAGGAGGAAGAGGAGGAAGAGGAGGAGGAGGGAGGAGGAGGAGGAGGAGGAGGAGGAAGAGGAGGAGGAGGAGGGGAGGAGGAGGAAGAGGAGGAGGAGGAGGAGGAGGAGGAGGAGGAGGAGGAGGAGGAGGGGGAGGAGGAGGAGGAAGAGGAGGAGTTGGGGCAGGAGGGGGGGGTGCTTCTTGGGAGCTTTTGGGCACTCATTGGGCTTCTGGGGGGCGTTCCCAGGGGCCTCTTGGAGGCCTCTAGGGGGTTTCCTTGGGCCTGCTGGGAACCTGCGGGGGCCCCTTAAGAGGCTCCTTGGCAGTCTGAGGGCGTTCCTGGCCCGTCTGGCGCCGTCGGAAACCGTCTTGAAGGCTTCCGTGGGCCGACATGGGGCCCTCTTGGGGCGTTGCAGGGCCGTCTTGGAGGCCATCTCTGGCATCTTCGAGGCCTCTTGGGCCGTTTTTGGTACCTCCTGGGGCCGTCTTGGGGGCCTCTTGGGCCGTCATGTGGTCTCCTCGGAGGCCCCGTGGACGTTCTTTGTGTTATCATAGTGGCTTTTGGGGCCGTCTGTGGCTTTTCGCAATTTACGCGATGCAATTAACGACTGCGCGCGAGTAAATTGACAACCCCACTGTTCGCGCAATCATCCTACCCCGCCCACCCGTTTTTGTTTTCTCTTCCAAAACCCCTGCGGCGGCGATTGCGATGCCTGCTAGGCGCTGGCTGGCGCATCGCTGGGGCCGCGCTAGCTCGCGCAAACTTGCGCGCAGAGCGGCCAGCTAGTCTGGCGCGGCCGACGCGGCCGCGCTGGCGCGCGAGCACTTCAGTGCGAGTCGGTGGCTCGACTGGGCGTGGTATCATGGCGACGCCGGTAACGGCAGAAACGATGATGATAGTAGCGATGCTGGTGACGATGGTGACGATGACGGGGGCAAGGCCAATGGCGGCGCCGATGCTGATCACGCCGATGAAGAGGATGGTGTTCGCGTGTGTGCGCGCAGCCGACCAGCACGAGTGGTCCGCATCGTGTCATTTGAAAGGGATCGTGCCCCCCCAACAAGTGCGCAAAGGCGTTCGGGAAAATGGGTTTCGACATGCGCGCGCCAGGGGCCCGCTTGGTCGCACTTGATGAACATGTCGAAATCCTTGGGTTTCGTGAGAATTCGCAAGAGCGCGCCCAGATTTGTATTGGAACGCTGCTTGGGGAATCGATGTTCTTGGAATCCTGGCACAACGACGAATCACAACCACATTGAGATAGACTTCTCGGGATAACCCTTCGTGGAACAACCCACCGACCTCGGCATGATCACTGTGGTTGTGGTCGTTTTCGATATGGCCGTCCTGGGACGCCACGTCGGCCACAACCAGCACTAAGCTGGCTTCGGTGTTCCGACGACTGCAGAGCGTCCCCCGGGGTGTGTCCTCGATGTGGTTGTGGTCGCTTGCTGTTTCCGCATAGAAGCCAAAAGGGGTATGAAGAAGTCCTCTGCCTTCTTAGGAGCCCCGCCGCCTTCTTGGACGCTCGCCCCGCTCGCACCCTCCGCCGGTGGGCGCCGCCAAGAGCTGGCACTGGCACCGAAGAGCGAAAGACCGGGCCGACGCCTGGCCCTTCGCAGTTGCCGAGGCCCGCCCCGCACAGCCTTTTGGCCCCACCAGGGGGCGTGCGGAAGTTCCTCCTCGCGCCCGAGAGCACCCGGAAAGAACCTCAAAGTGGGTTCCAAGAGTTGGAGGAGGGAAAGGTACCCACACTTCTACCCTTGCCTGGTTTCCGTTTTTTTGTCTTCTCGAAGGCCCTCGTCGCCACGTCTGGATTCGCCTCGAAACGCCAGTCAGGACGCACCCCGGGAGAATTCTGGGAGAGGTCTGGGGAGTAGCGCTATCGGTATCTTTTGGTTTCCCCAGAGCCCCCTGACCCCCACGATCAGATCCAAGGCTCCGCCCAGCACGGATTTTCTTTTCGTTGCAGCTCGCCCTTCGCTCCGCGGTTGGTCAGGGGTGCCCCCCCCCCCCGCCAGGCTGCCAGCCACCTGCAGTCCACAAGAGATGGGGGGGAAGTGTTGCGGCGTAGAGGTGGTGGTGTGAAGCTCTCCCCCGAAGGGATGGATTCATGCAACCTGCCTCGGGATGTGCCTCAGCGTCTCTGGGCGAAGAAGTGCTCAAGAGCAGTCTGAGGCACGGGCTCGGCATGTGTGGGCCAGCGCCGCTCAATGGACGAAGTAGCGGCTTTACTTTGGGGAGCTTTGCCATCAAAGTTTACAGCAAGCTTGGTTCGCTTTGAAAACGGCTTCTGCACTCATGGGCAGTCGGTCAAGGGCCGGTCCTAGTCACTTATAGCGCTGCAGCGAGCGCTTGCGAGAAAAGCGGACAGTGGCAACAGGCGCTGCTATTATTGAACGAGGTGTTGCTTGTAGATTTGGCGTTGGACGTTATCAGCTGCAGTGCTGGAATCAGCGCGTGCGAGAAAGGTGGGCAGTGGCAGCAGGCGCTTTGGCTTCTGAGCGAGCTGCGGGCTGCGAAGCTGCAGCCAAATCTCATCTCTTCTGCGTTGCCGTTCACAATGCGAAGTTGATTGCGCAAGGAGATGCAAGAGGCCCTGCAAGGCGCACGAGACTCCCCAAAGGAGGTCCAAAGAGGCGCCAAGAGAGACTCCGGGCATTGAGTACGCTCATGCTTTCCCAAAGTCGAACTTGGCCTAGGGGTCTCTCACAGCCAGTTGTCTGTTGCAAGTCACGCCGCCGTGCCAGTCCAGCATGTTGGGCGGCGACCATTCGAGGGGGCACGAGAGGCCGTCACGTGTGATACGTGCGCCTCTTGAAGGTACTGGGGGCCTCTTGAGGGGTCCTTGGGGGCACCTTGGTGGATCTTGGCAGCGCCTTGGGGGCGCCTCAGGGGCTCTTCGGGGCTCATTGGGCCGTCTGAGGGCGCTCTTGGGCCGTATGGGTGCTCTTAGAGTCCATCTTGGGGGCTCTTTGGGTTGTCTTGGGGCTCTCTTGGGGACCTTGATGGCCGTCTGAGCGCCTTCTTGGGCCGATTTGGGGTCCTCTTGGCCTGCTATTGAGCCATCTTGTCAGCCTCTTGCGCCGTGTTGGGGGGCTCTTAGTGCCCTCCAGGGCCATCTTGAGGCCATCTTGTAAGCTTCGTGGGCTGTCTCGAGCCGACGAAAGCTCGACACGGCGAGAATGCACAACTCTTTCGACCACCTGCAGACAGTCAGTGTTTTTGGCCTCTTCGGGCTTTGTTGGAGGCTCCATTGGAGCCCTTCTTGGGCCGTCTTGGATGCCTCTTGGGCCTACTCGAGGCCACCTTGGGCCATCTGAGGCTGACATGGAGGCCTCTTGGACCAGCTTGACGGCCTTTGGGGCCTGCCAGGTCCGTCTTGGATGCCATCTTGGGCGTTTTGGGCGCCTTGGAGAGCGCCATGGAGGCGCCTTGGCCGCCAAGGAGTCCCCGCAGTAGGGGCGGTGCGCGCGAGGGGACGCGACATTTGGGGGGGGGTCCCCTAGAGGACTACAGCAACCCTTCCAGGCAGTACTTGGTTTTTTCCACGCCTCAACGTGCAACAGGCACGGTGGCGGATTCGTGTAGAGAAACGCTGTCAGGGGCGCGCTTGTCGGGCCGATTCCTCGCGACCTGTGCGCTGGGTCCTCGCGCAGATTCCGTGCGGTGCCGTGGTAGTTCTGCGCTAGTGTTGTGCTGGTGGTGCCCCGTGCTGTAATGTGCGATGCTGATCTCTTTGCCAACGCCGTCCAATGCTGGTGCTGACGCCATGCTGTGCGAGTAACATGCGGTGCTGATGAAGCTGATGCTGATGCTCCTGCTGCTGAGGAGGAGGAGGAAGATGGACGAGGAGGATGTGGATGAGGATGAGGATGATGATGCTGATGGGGATGATGACGAGGATGATGACGATGATGATGATAGTGCTGATGATAATGATGTTGATGACGACGATTATGGTCATGACGATGACACTGATGCTGATACTGACGATGCTATTGATGATGCTGATGCTGATGATGACGATGATACTGATGATTATGTTGTTGATGATGGCGATGCTGATGACGATGCGGATGATGCTGATGATGGTGATGATGTTGCTGTTGCTGCTGATGATCATGATGATGATGATGATGATGGTCATGATGGTGATGATGGCGATGCTGATGCTGATGAAGAGGACGCTTATGGTGATGCTGATGATGCTGCTGCTGATGATGATGATGCTAATGACGATGCTGATGATGATGCTGATGATGATGTTGATGATGCTGCAGATGATGCTGCTGCTGATGCTGATGATGATGTTGATGACGATGCTGCTGCTTCTGAGGAGGAGGACGATGAGGATGTGTATGCGGATGAGGATGAGGATGCTGATGATGCTGCTGATACTGATGATGATGCTGGTGACGCTGCTGATGATGAGGGTGCTGATGATGATGACGATCACGATTATGATGATTCTGATGATGCTGACGATGATGACGATGACTATGATGCTGATACGGACGATGATATTGATGATGCAGATGCTGATGATTGAGACGAGATGTTGATGATTATGTTGTTGTTGATGATGGCGATGCTGATGATGCTGATGATGCTGATGATGGTGATGATGATGCTGCGGTCATGATGGTGATGAGGGCGATTATCATGCTGATGATCTCGATGTTGATGCTCACGATGCTAATGATAATGCTGCTGCTCATGATGATGATGCTGCTGAATCTGATGATGATGATGATGCTGATGATGATGATGCTGATTATGATGATGATGCTGATGATGATGATGCTGATGATGCTGTTGCGGATGATGAAGATGATGTTGATGATGATGCACATGTTGCGGCTGCCGCTGCTGATGATGCTGATGATGACGATGCTGATGCTGCTGATGCTGATATGTGTTAGGCTAGGCTTTTCTGTGCTATGCGATGCTGATGCTACGCGATGCCGCGCTGTGCTACTGGTGCGCGATGCTGTGCTATTCGTGACGTGCTGATACTTGCTAACGCCATTACGTGTTTTAGTGCTGTGTTATCATGGTGGGCGGCAGTCCAGTGCCTATGTACGTGCTGTGATGTGTTGTGCTGTGCTATGCTGTGCCGTGCATTGGTATGCGTTCGTGTATGCATCAAGCCCCTCCCTAATCTGAGTCGCGCCAGGTTCACGTGAGTGCTTTCAGCTTGGCTCTCCGCCTAAGGTTACCTCAGGAGGGCTCCACACCTCCTTGCTTTATTCCCAGACGTTCTCGTTAGACCCCCACGAGGCTCCAGAGTTCCCAAGAGCCGCCCAGACAGCCTCGACAGGGCCCTAGGGTGTCCCACGAGGCTTCCAAGATGGCTTAAGATTTCCACACGACTGTCCCTGGAGGGCCCAAGACAGCCAGGAGAGGCCCACGTTTGCCCGAGACGGCCCCGAGGGTGCCAGGGTGGCCCCGAAGCATCTAAGACTGCCTGTGCGTGGTTTGATGCAGTCCCAGAGCCGCTCCCAGAGCAGCACCAGCCAGCAGTAGGCAGCATTGGCAAGCAGGACTGGCAAGCGGCAGCGCCCCGCAGCGGCGAGCCGCAGCCAGCACACGACAGCACGCCAGCACGCAGCAGCAGCACTCGCTATAGCAGAATGCTGAACCGGCAGCACGCAGCCACATAACACGTCAACAGCAAACAGCAATTTTCAGCAGGAGCACCCTGCAGTAGCAATCAGCCACAGCAAGCGGCAGCAAGCAGCACCTTGATGCAGCGGCATGTATGTAGGAGCATTCGCTTACACCAGGCAACACAAACCTGCAGCAGCGAGCAGCGAGCAGCGAGCAGCGAGCAGCAAGACATCGGCACTGAGGAGCAACACGTAGCAGAAGTGCTGAGGAACACCTTGGGGCAACAGCGTGACGCAGCGGTCTGCATGGCAACACCGCGCGCAGCGTCATTAGATATCAACGCGCAGCAGTGCAATCGACATGAAACAGCACCAACCATTAGCATGTAGTAGCACCAAGCCAGAGCAGCAGCACTTTGACCAAGCATTCACCAGCAGCAGTAAGTAGCACCAAGTATTCACCAGCAGCAGCATTTGACATCAAACAGCCGCACGTAGCAGCAATCGACATTATGCAGTGACCAGGCTGCAACCTGCGTACGAGAAAACACTGAAGCGAGCAAGAAGCAAGAATGCAGATAAGCAGGCCACAGGCTGCCAGGCTAAACCACTTGTCCTGGCAGGTGTTGCCTTGTGCCGCGTACGCTGCATTCATCACCCTTGCATGCGAGTGCGCTTTCTTGGATAGGTCTGCCTTGGTCAGCTACAGTGCTGGAGTCAGCGCGTGCAGAAAAGGAGAACAGTGGCAGCAGGCGCTGTCGTTGTTGAGGGAGCTAGGCAAAGTGACGTTGCCCCCGGATGCCATCATCTACAATTCTGGAATGAGCGCATGCGGTAACGGATGGCAGTGGCAGCAGGCGCTGTTGTTGTTAAGGGAATCGCGGAATCTCGAGCTGGAGACAGACGTCGTCAGCTACAGTGCCGGGATCAGCGCCTGCGAAAAATGCGGGCAGTGGCAGCGGGCATTGTCGTTGTTGTGCGAAATGTCCCAGGCGACGGTCGAGGTTAGCGTCATCAGCTGCAATGCAGCGACCAGTGCATGCGAGAAAGGGGGCCAATGGCAGCAGGCTTTGCTTTTGCTCAGTGATTCGCGGAAAGCGGAGGTAGGTCTGAATACAGTGAGCTTCAATTCTGGAATCAGCGCTTGCGAGAAGGGTGGGAATTGGCAGCAGGCGCTATCGTTGTTGATGGAGTTGCGCGAAGCGAGGCTGGAATCAGATGCAATCAGCTACAGTGCTGCCATCAGCGCGTGCGAGAAGTGGGGGCATTGGTGGCATGCGTTGTCACTATTACGCGAAGCAGAGGAGGTCAAGCTGGAGCCAAATGTCATCTCTCCTACATCGGCGTCACACCAACATACTTTACTAGTTATGTGTTTGTCGCCTCCCACAGGGGCGACGCGCGCACCGAGACATCTTATAGTACATGCGTCGTGGCGGGCGCTTTCTGGCCACACCGCTCGGGAAACGATATACTACAATATGGGTATACCACATGTTCGGGTCGGACGCGCGCCTCCAAGGAGGACATATGATATTGGTATGTCTCTGTGCGTCCTACTACACGGTCGGGAGCAGCGCGTTCCAGAACTGTGGCGGACTCGAGTGTCCAGCGGGCCTCCGTAGAGCCCTCTGGCGAGCCCTCCGGCGCGCCCCGGCAGGCCCCAGTGCGTTCGGTCGGCTCCCGCGCGCGCCCCTGGAGACTCCCAAGGCGGCCCAGGATGATAGGCCACTTTTCCACTACCGTTGTGGAGGTCGATTACTGCGCATTTTCTTAGGGTGGAGGGCTCAGGGTGAAATCCATATGGGCTCTTGCACCTCGAAAATCAATCCGTCTTGTGATTGACCTTTTGCAGATCCAAGCCTCGAAAATCAAACGAAACGGCATTTCAGATTTTACCCTTTCCCCTCCACCCAGAGGA